TTTTTTAATTCTTAATTATTTTATTTATAAAAAACACTTAACTCTATCTATTAATGTTATAGGACCATCATAATAATTTATTTTTCAAAGAATTTATATAACATGTTATAACTTGCATTATACTTGATTTAATTATTAATACAATCATATTTTTATCAAAAAATACCTAAAAAGATAAAATTAATAACTTTAATAAAATAAATAATACTCATAACCTCATCCTTGAGAAAGAGAGAAATCCAACCATATCCTATTTATAACCCTCCATCAAATGAAAAAAAAAAAAGAAAAAAAGTCATTCACCGAACAAAAGTGGCTGTTTGCAATATAGTTTTGTTCGTTAGGATTTTTATTTTCCACACAATCAGATTAATTCTTCTATTTCTTGAATTGATGCAACTCCCAAGTTGTAAAGCATCCACGGGTGAGTCACGGTGACGAGCGCCTTAACTAAAGAGATTAAGGGCATATTTGGTGTGGTCGGTGGGAGCTTTAGTTTTTTTAGTACTGTTACGAGTGATAAGTTTAAATTTTTATTAGAGGAAAAATAGAATTTTAGCTTTTAAAAAGGTGAAAAAATAAGTGAAAAGTAAGTAAAAAGAGAGTTTATGAAAAGTTTGAATTTGAAACTTTTGAGCTTTTACTGTTTAAGAGCTTTTTGAAATTAAAAAAATATTTAAAAGTGTAAGTTTTTTAAAAAACAATTTAAATTCATGAGACATGAATAATATGCAAAATCTGAAACTCCTAAGAGCTGCACCAAATATGCCCCAAGTCATCCTCCCCTTTTGCCATAAGGTTAAATACTTAAATGGTTAAATGTGAATTTTACACGCCCACCGTTAGGATCTTACGTGTATTTTTCGTTCTTTAATTATATTATATATAGTTTTAATTCTTCAACTCTAAAAATTACGTAATTCTAACTCCTCCATCAATTAGATCCATTGACCCAATTCCCATAGTATTTTTTTCATTTGTTTTAACATAAATAATATAACTAATAAAAAAGATACTTACCTGACTAAAACTAATGCTAACAACTTAATGACGGGTTAAAAATGAGAGCCACTCAATGATATTAAAAAATAATATTTATTTATCTTAATTAAAATATAAAA